AATGATTTCACGCAGAATTTGTTCACATTCGATAGTCCATTTCCATTCCGCAGTCGACTGAGCAGCAAACAGTAGTTGGGCTTTTGTGAGGAAGTTTGGGATGAAACGCGAACAGTATTGGAGACATCCCATTATAGATCTAAGTTGGTTTCGATCTCTTGGTGACTCGAGTTCAGTCAACGGGCGGAAGCGCCTTGGATCAGGACGATAGCCTTTAGCACCCACTGTGAAACCCAAGAATTCCAAATCTGATGAGCTGAACATGCATTTGGAGGCGCGAATTGACACGTTCTTTTGGGCGAACCGCTCCAGTAGTTTGAGAAGTCTATCGTCATGCTCGGCCTTCGTTGCGCCAAATACAATGACATCTTCCTGGCACGCTAACACGCCATCGTGTCCACGGATGACTTCGTCCATTGCAGCCTGGAATATGCCGGAGAATGTGTGGAAACCAAACGGTAGGAAGTTGTGTTCATACAGTCCCCATGGTGTGTTGATAGTAGTGAAATGCCGGCAGGTTGGTGCGAGTGGAATTTGTAGGTATGCATCGGCCAAGTAAATCTTCGAGAACCATGTACTGCCGTGCAATGCTTTCATGAAATCCTCCGGTTCCGTGGTGGTAGCCGCACAATTTCGCAACCGCGGGTTGAGTGTTAAGCGGTAGTCGCCACAAATTCGCGGTGTTTTGCCGTCACTCTTGATTGCGATCACAATTGGCGTTGCCCATGTACTGGATGTGACTCGTATGATTATACCATCGCGCTCCATTTTCTCAAGGGTCTGTAATACACCATCACATTGGCCGTAGGGAATTACACGTCGTTTCAGGAAAATGGGTTCACCATCAACTTCCAGTTTGGACGGCTGTACGTTCATACCTCCCGTATTATTGGAACATTTCACGACCAGGTGCTGTAGGTGGGTGTTCATCTTGAACATAGGGTTTGTATGGAGCGACACATAATGGTTCAATTCACGAGTGGCGGTTAGGCCAAGTATGGACGGACTGTGTTTAGCAATTAAGAAGCGAGTGGGAACAAGGCGATTTTCTGTTGAGTGAACCATCAATGAAACCTCGCCAATCAATGGTAATTGGTGATCAGTTACACCAAGAATTCGCATGGATTTCGGTTAGATTTTTGCTTGGGGGCATATGGATCGAAGCACAGCATTAGAANCATTAGAAATAATAGATTCCGTACTTCCCGTGTCAACAATGAATTTATGAGTTGTACCAGATTGTAATGTCACATCTCGGTACAGAAATTGGGTGGCTGGGCCTTCAGAACGTAGAGAGAGCACAAGGTGTGTCGTTTGAAGCATTTGACTGTGTAAGATTGCAACGAGTTTGTTTGCATACTCCCCGAATGTGGCCAATTTTTCCACAAGCATGACATTTGGCATTACGAAAGCGGCAATTGGAGCGTAGGTGGTAAGCTCCACAAGACAAGCATGGATTCATTCGTTTTTCATTACCTGAAAAATCTTTCTGCGGCTTTGGTGCACGTTTGGCTGTTGGAGGTCGATTCGGTGGAGTCTTCTGCCGTTGGAATAATGTGACTACTTCGCTGGAGGTGGCCTTCATCGAGTCATCATGCCGTTCACAAATTTTCCGGGCTTCGGCAAAAGTTACATCCTTCTTCTCCAGTAAGTTGCGTTGCAGATTGAGATTGTTGATGCCCACTACCAAACGGTCACACTTCTGTTCTTCCAAACGATCGCCGTAGTTGCAGCGTGATGCCTGTCTGTTTAGCTGCAGGATGAAATCACGGCAAGACATGTGGTCAGCACGGATCATGGAATTGAATTTAGCACGTTCGTGGGCTTGGAATTTAGTGGGCAGCAGGTGGTTGAGCAGGAGCGATTTCAAGGATTCGTATGGTAGTTTGGCGGGAACCTCCGGAAATGCCAGGTTTTTCAGCACCGAATACATATCACGGCAGCCAGCAGTGAGAAATAGAGCCGATTGGCTTTGCGCACTACAGTTCGAATCGCTCTACCCATTCCTCGATCTCGGATGGACTGGCTTGTAGGTTCACTTGTTCAATACTTGGAAGCTCCGTTGCGCGACGCCAATTTGTAATGATAGTGGAAGTAGTAGTAGTAATACTCACGGAATTCG